TTTCTCTCCTTGGCTGTCCAAGGAATTCTAAAGATTTCATCAGTAAAACCCTATCTCCATAACTAGAACTATAAAATACCTCAAAACTCCCTGACATGGCCATCGGCCAGTAAGAGGCGCCATTATAACTTCACCCCCCTGCTGCCTTGCAGGGTATGTCTCTTAAGACAAAGGCTCCTGGGGCTAAGCCCTGAAGAAACTGGCAGAAGGCAAGGGAAAACCACAGCTGTATTTTCCCTAGTATATCATGCCTTTATAAAAATCCAATTCAGACGTTGACGTTAATGGGGGTTCTAATGGAATCACCTCGTCCGGTAGGAAGCAGCATGTTCTTCAGGTGATACCCGACCATCATCCAGCTACTGTGGTGAAAGTATATATCAATAACATCCTAAACATAGGTACATACAATGTCAGAACTCTAGTACAAACATTAAGGCTGAATAACATTAAGGCCGACATGGAGAGAATAAAGTTAAGATCCCTTTTCACGCCTCGAGGCGTATTGTGTATATGGGAAGAGGGCCATATTTACAGACCATCGACACTAGGATGGTAATGTGGTCAGCATTACGCCGGCCGTCTTCACTTCGCCATGACAGCCATCCTGGTACCCATTTTAGCCTGGGTCGACCTGCGACGCCCCATACCATGATAAAAATCCACGCAGCCAGCAGTGGGTTTCGATCGCGGTACGTTGCAATTACGAGTCGGACTCGCAACGCCTATGCCACGGACGTCGCAAAGCATATAGAACGCTTCACGAACTAACGTGTCATCCTCTCGCAGGGGCCATACTTATCTATTCTGTGTCGTTCCAATGTTAGTATATGTACTGCGTGAACGTCGGCGTCTGTGGCATAGGCGTTACGAACGTGCTTCGTAATGTCGAGGTGCCGGGTTCTATCCCTCCTGCGGACGGTTTGTCTCTGCGATGATTTCGACCGTGGTACCGAGAGCCGACCGTCCAGGAGCAATGGCAAACTACTGGACGTAAATTTGGCTAGAAAAACCATAAAAGCAAGAAAGTGCTGGGGTTGGTTCTGCAACGTTCTGTAAAGGATACGCAACTAACTGCGTGAACAGTACCTGATGGAGAAAATAAATATCAAAATATTAGGAATCAGTGAAATGCCCTGGCCGGGTGCAGGAGAAAGATATTCAGATAAACACTGCCAAAAACTATTAATACCACTTTTGCGATTTAGACAGAGGGGTCTTTGAGTCTGAGTATTTACGGCCGCATGGCTAGTGCTGTCGCCATGACTGTGCAGCATTTTATTTTGCCTCCGACAAAAGAAAATCACCAGCCTTACCGAGGGTTCGAACCTGGGTCTTCGGCTTGAGAGCCTAGCGTTCTAACCGTTCGGCCAGTCACGCCTGTTATATAAACACAAAGGCAACATGTAAAAACATGAAATGTCGAGTTCTTCATGAGAGAAAGCTAACATACAGGCTACATTTGTAGTATTTAAATAAGAGTATTGTTTCTTAGAATGTTGTTATGATGTTGGTTTTTTAATCTGTTACCTCAATCTGGTCAACAGAAAGTACAAAACTGACATAAAGATGATGTGTAATGTGAGAGAGGAAGAAGTGATTAGGCAGTTCAGTTTTTTTGGATAATGCAAAGTAGATCTATATCCCTTAAAAAAAAATTGTGAGCCTTGGTAACTAGGAAAAATACTATGGAAGTAAAGACGGACGGCGTGATGGTGACCACACCGCCTCGTGGATGTCCTGATAAGGTTTAATTTCACTCACTCACTCAAATAACCCAACGGTTGAACGGGGTTTCTGGGACCTCTCCACGGGTGATCCTTATCTGAATGATGGCACTTTGTGCCTTCGGATGTTTATCGCTCTGTGTGATGTCTTTTTATTTCAGGAATCACTGGCCGTCTTCTTTATAGACTATACTCTGTTGCCTATTACTACTTTATACTAAAGGGCAAGACTTTCTAATCGCTTTATTTTCATTATTACTGTGACTGTATTTTCTGCTCGTTTATGTCTATCTACCTGGCAATTAGTGTATCCGAATTCCCCCCCCCCCCCCCCCCCCACGACATTCAACATAAGTACACGTAGTTATACTTTTCTTTTGTTGTTGCTCACCGTAAAGCTTGGTATTGTATATATTTGTTTCTTTATGTTACAGCTTTCAGTTCACTTAAAGTTATTAGTCTTTTACCTGAGAGTATGGATCCTCTATAAAGGATCTAGTTTTTGATGATTTTTCATAATCTTTGCAATTCCTTGTGGCTATTCTTTCTATTCTGTCTTCAACATGTTTTCTTTGTTATAGGCTTGTCGAATTGATTGATGTTACTAACTAGAGTGCACTAGTGAAAACAATTGTTTGTATTTACTTCACTCTATTACATAATGTGGAGAGGTGTGGTCGAATAGCAGCTAGAGGCATCTGCCGGTCCGAAGGTTTAGTGTTCAAATCAGCATCAAAGTAGATTTATTTTCAAATCCAACCTTTGCCTGCCAGGTCGACCAAAGCCTAAAATAGGTATCAGTGAGTGTGAAAGACGCCTGGCGAGACTGCTGACCACATTATCCATCGACTACCGACAGATTACACTTGTTGCACATCGAACCCTTCAAGTGCTCGGATCCCCGCCTTAGTAAATCTAGCAGCGTGTAAGCGGCTCAAGACACCAGTTCTGTGTTGGTTTGTTTTTCTTCTCTGGCTTCCTGCAAAGTGTTCTTGTCTGGCCACACCCCTTTTAACATGTTGTTCTTGCAGTCTGGTCATTGTTGCAGATTCACAGTCATCACTTGGCTCTCGCAAAAGTCTTGCTTCTCGTAGAGCATTCACAATATCATCAAATACACATGTCTAGCAGTATATGTCCAAGGCGTCAAAGACACGAAAAGGGTCCTTTACTTATAAACAAAAAGGTAAAACGTTGGGGAGATGTGAACCAGCCCGATTGCCCACGGTTATAAACCATAAGTGCTCTGCCACCAGTTTGAATAGCTTATAAAAAAAACTGTCCGCCTGTGTCGCCGTCCGCATGCAACTCCGTAGCAACAGCGACGTTCCTCCATTTACCCTACAGTGTTAACTGGTACCCATTTCCTAGAGGCTGGGTGAACCCAGGGAATCGCCCTGTTTTAAACACCGTTTGTGGGCTGCAGGGAGTCGCAGCTGGATTTAAAAGCGAGTCTCCTATCGACTGCGCTAACGCGGCCCAATACTTATAAAGAAAATGGTGTATACAATTATGCTTCTTATAGTAGTAGTAGTGGGGTGGTGGTAGTAGTAATTTTCATTTAAAAACATCCTGTTCAACTCTCTTGATTACAGCTGGGTTTCACAGTGTTTACTAGTTTCAATAGTATAATTTTGCTACTTTTTTTTATCGCACAGTCACTGTCACAAGCTGTCAGTCTGCTTTCAAAGTCACACTTCCTCATACCACGTGGACAAGACTTGACTGTATAGATCTGCGGTTGCTGACTGTCCACCCCCGTGTGGGTTCCGTCGCCCCATTGTAGAGGCGGAGGTGGAGGGGATAGAATGACTTCCTGCCCCAAGCATGTTGTAGGAGTTTGTTGAAATCAGAAAACTGTTGCACTGAAAGGAGCAGATAGTCAAACCTAGCCTTAGAAGAGAAGAAGAAGAAGAAAAGAAGAGCAGAAGAAGAAGAAAGAAGAGAGAAGAAGAAGAAGAAGAAGAAGAAGAAGAAGAAGAAGAAGAAGAAGAAGATCCCCCTCCAGAAGATAGAAGCCAATGATAATTGTTTTTAAAAAACTGAATAATAATAAGAAGAAGAAGAAAAGAAGAAGAAGAAGAAGAAGAAGAAGAAGAAGAAGAAGAAGAATAATTAAAAGAAAAAGAGAAGAAGAAGAAGAAGAAGAAGAAGAAGAAGAAGAAGAAGAAGAAGAAGAAGAAGAAGAAGAAGAAGAAGAAGAAGAAGAAGAAGAAGATGAAAAAACAGTAGTAGTAGTAGTAGTAGTAGTAGTAGTAGTAGTAGTAGTAGTAGTAGTAGTAGTAGTAGTAGTAGTAGTAGTAGCAGCAGCAGCAACAGCAGCAGCAGCAGTAGTATAGTAGTAATAGTAATAGGATGATGATTGATCAGTTCTCTGAAAGAAGTTCATTTATGTTTGTTTCTTCTTCCGGCTAATGAATTCTCTGCCCGTTCCCCAACAAACTATACGCCATTAGATATTTCCCTGCCAGCTAATGTGCTTGTTGTCTGGTGCACATGCTTACACTATACTTCTTTACTTCTTGTACGGCTTCAAATGTCGAAAGAGATAGAAAGTTCCAGTTCTTGCTCTGCTGGTCGCGTCCACAATAAACATTTGATATGTCGTAGTTTTTCTGATGTTTTTCCATCTTGTTCTGGGTCTATCTCCCGCCAAACATCCATATTCTCTTTTGTTTTAAGCCTCGTAAGATACGACATCACAGCTCACTCTCTTTAAGTGGGCAAACCGTATTTGTATTCTGGTGTTTCGTATGTAACTGACCTTTTTGTTATAACCACATAGGTAGGGGCCTAAGAAGGGCGTCGGAAAGTGGGGAAGGGGCGAGGCCGGACCACCCTCTGTTTCTTACAAATACGTCAGATCTGTAAAACGGTTGTGTACGCAACACACAGGTTCTGGAACACAATATTGAGGTCCAGAAGCGAACTTTCCGCCAGAGTTTATCGACGCTGAACGCAAAAACGAAAATGAAGTGTTTGTATGTATGTATGTAAGTTGTACCCCACCAATACACCACACAAGCGATAAACACCCAGTGGCACAAAGTGTCACCGGATGAGGATCACATGTGGAGAGGTCCTGGAAACCCCGTTCAGCCGTTATACCATATTTCAGGCCCAACTTTATTTAGGGCTCCCGGTTAAACCGAGGGTGGGGTTTCAAAATAACTAAAAATTGTATCCCACAAGAGGTGGACGACGAGACATATAAAGAAGGGTTAGTAACTACAGGTGGTACTTACTTACACACATTTCCCTTTTCACTTTCAGCTGTCCCGGACCCACCTATCAATGTAAAGGTCACAAGTTGTCATGGAAACTCAGGCGGTCTGTCGTGGGAGCCTGGGAATGACAACGGAGCGGCTATCTTGGGTTATATCGTCCAGTTTAATACCTCTGACAGTCCTAACATTTGGTAAGTTTTTAGAAATAATTGGGCGCTCCTCCGAAAATTATCTAGGCCAAAAACCCACCCTTAACTTATATGGCCTCAGTTATATGTAACATTAGTATGGATTTATTTACGGCAAATAAATTTTTAGTTGTGTTGTTAGATGACCTGTCCTGTAAGTGTGTAAGAGTCGGTGGCTAACCTCCGAATAGTGGTCCCAAATTATTGAGGCCAAAAATATACTCTAACATGGCGTCAGTCACATTTAAATTGCGAACTTCCGGCGACTTAAAGTGCGGACTCCTGGCGACTACCGCCACCGCCGAGAGTATCTCCCGCTCCGCTACGCGCAGCGCGGAGCTGGGGTAAACTAGATGGCTTTTTGCTTATAAGTCCCAGCCATCTAGTTTAGCCCTACTCTCGGTAGTGGCGGTAGTCGCCGGAAGTTCGCAATTTACATGTGACTGAAGCCCTGTTAAGGTATATTTTTTGGCCTCGATAATTTGGGGCCGTTATTTGGAGGAAAGCAGGGTCCGTTTTTGGCCTAGATAATTTGGGGCCGTTATTCGGAGGAGTGCCTTTATTTGTTTAAATAAAGAAGACACAAACACTAGATTGCACAATTAATTGCCTGGTGTATACGACAATAAAAGTCAGTACATTCTTCAGGCCTGACCACTATACTTACAACTTGGAAAAGAAACCTAGCCTCAAGAGAAAAGTGTGCAGAGCAAGCTATGGGGAACCACGAGGGATCTGCAACGGATATGTGGATTCAAAGAGCCGCTCACCTGATGATCTGACCTGAGCATGTGAAACCGAACTCAAAGAAGAAGAAGAAGAAATAAAGATCATGTTTTGACAAAACTGTAAACGGGCGACCCTATGGGACACAATCTTTAGGTTGTAGGTAAAGAATCCTTTAAATAAATACCGCCGTGGCTAAGGCGTTGCGAGTCCGACTCGTAAGCCAGCATACCGCGATTGAAACCCACTGCAGGCTGCATGGATTTTTAACGTGGTATTGGACGTCACAGGTCGACCCAGCCTAAAATGGGTACCAGGATGGGCTGTCCTGGGAAAGTAAAGACAGCCGGCGTAATGCTGACCTAATTACCCACAGAGTGCTGATGGTCTGTAAATATGGGACGCTCTGCCCATATGCCCGATGCGCCGAAAGGCGTGAAAAGGGAACTTTACTTTTTTTACTAGGGGGTGTAATTCATTGTTTGTGTAAGTTCACTAAATAATATTCTATAAAATGAATATTTTTGAGATTAGGCTTAGAGTTGGAGTCAGGTGTAACTCTAAGCCTATATCAAACCCTAAACCTCACCGAAAGCAATATTTTCAGAACATTATTATGTGAACTTAAAAAACAAACAATGGATTTTGTCTGTTATGGTCGCTGTAAACAAACAATAAATTGCGTCCCTTAGGGTCACCGTTTACATTTTTGTTCCAATGTTTGTGTCCATTGACTTCTTATAGCCTAGGCCTATCTATGTCTTATAGTGTTGGTAATTTACTTATAATGTCTGCCCACACACTGCTGCCTTGTGTACTGTCAGTTTTTTCTGATTCATTTTTTTCCATCCTATGACAGACTCTTAATCTTAACACTGTTCTCCTGGTATCCACCTGTCTCTTTCCTTCAGGCACTCATTTCTTATCATAATGACACATTCCAGTATTTTCCTTCGCATGACATGCCTAAAATATGAAGTCCCTCTTCTGTGGCCAATCAGTTCTCTTTGTGAGTGAATTTCTTTCAAAATTTCCTCATTAAACTTTTTTCTGGCCCTGAAGTTCTCATCGTTCTTTCTGTAAAATCAAGTCTCTGCAGCTTTCACATAATTTCCCACTGTGTGGCTGACCGTCCATGATTTTCTTCCATTTATCAAGATTGGCACTAAATAACTCTTTAAGAACTCTCTTTCTCACCTCATTAACAAAGACTGTATAGAATATGTATTTTATGGAATGCTGCTAACTTTTTCTTTTTCCATTTATATGTTTATAATACATTTTATGTCTTGCCATGTGTAATTACTGCAGAGGTGCTGCTGATAATCAATCAAAGTTACCATTACTTTATGTTTATATGAATGGGTAATGTTTTATACTTATTCTGGGAATGCTTCAATTATATTTATCTATTTTTCATTAACAAAATTATTACCTTTGTCTTTTTATTTCCTAAATGCTTAGCTTATAGTCCTTTATAATTTTTTTTTTAACAACTGAAATAAATACTTTCAGCTTTCTATATGCCTAGAAAAATTACTATATTTTTCCTATAACCACAAAAAGGATTTGAACAAAGAATTGTGTCCGCCTCTAGTGCTAGAGGTTCCGGGTTCAATCCCCGACAAGGGCTGGGATATTTTCACGTGGACTTAGACTTCTAGTAATTCCCCCGGGTCTCTGGGTAGTGGGATTATTTGCCCGTGTGTATTTTTGCGTACGTAAAAAATCCCTTGGCAGTTGGAAATCAAAAAGAGTAGCCTAACGATGCTGCCCAGGCAAAAATTTGAAGTGAAAAATCTACCCAAAGTATTTCAGGATCCTCACTGGTGCAACAGAGCCTGTGCACTGTGCTGAGCTTCTTCGGACTCAGACTTGAGTTAGAAGAAGAACGGAGCACTTTTGGGTTACTACCCGTGTGCCATGATGTTGATCTGTTGTTCAAACTTAAATATCAAACCTCTGTATCTTGTCAGGTGAATACTATGATAGCAGTTAAATACAAGGAAGTACATAAGTGGACCTGATAATTCTAACTGACATACAAAATTGTTTATATTCAGAATTAACTGTTGGTCCAGGGCAGATAAGAATTCAAAGTTACATCTTTTTGTGTGAATAAATCTGGATGGAAAGATATGTCTGTTGTATGTGTCTTCTTTGTTCAAATTTACAATGGGAAAAAACCTTGCTTTGACTTTTGTATCTTTTTATTTTAAGAATAATTTATCTTTTATCTCTATTTATGCCAGGAATGATTATGATGAACAGTTTGATAGCAGCAGGGTTGCTGTCACCCTTCAACTTTACCCTTGGGGTACATATTCATTCAGGGTCAAGGCCAAAAACATACTGGGTTCTAGCAAGCCTAGTAAGTCTACTCTAAGAATGTGTACCACTCCACCTGACAGACCTGACCGCAACCCCAGCAATGTGAGAACCAGAACAGACATCAAGAACACTCTCATTGTTGAGTGGACGGTGAGTCATTGGCTGTATTAACTCTTTCCAGTCAATTAGGTGATTGCAGTTATAGCTACATTGGGCCGGGAGTGCAGAGAGTGGCCAGCAGGTGCTACAAAGGTGAAAGTCCAACAGCTGATTCATGACATTTCATGCCCAGGTGATCTGATTATCTATACAAATGGTTCGGTGTTGAGAGGAAAGAGGAGTGCCAGGAGGTTCATAGGAAAAGCCTATGGAAAATCTTTAATGCAAGACAGCCTAGCAAACAAGATCACAACATCTAGCATGGGAATTGAGGTTGAGGCAGTAATTACAGCTCTCCGGTGGCAAGAGAACAAGATGCATGCACATGTTGTAATTGTAACAGACTCTGAAAGCATGCTTAGAAAGGTGAAGACAGGGATGCTTCGAGCAGAGTGGCAAGCTTTGCTCAGAAAGTCACTGGTAGTGAGCATACTTTTTGTATCTTTTCTCAAGACCATGCAGGCATAGTTGGTAATGAACAGAACTGGGTGGTGAATTGAAACATGACAAGGCAGATGTGGTCAATGCCCATTGGGAACAAGCAACAAAAAGAGAAGAGAAACAAGATTATTATGGTCTGGAGAGAATGAGGCACCTGGGTGTAACCGTAGGGTCTGGCCAGCTCACTACACTTAGAGAAAAGACAAGACGGACATATAATCAGATTGTGACCGGTACCATCAGTATTGGAACTCTGTGTTAGCTGCTAAAGGTGAGGACGGAGCACACATGGGAATCCCTCAAGTGCTGTGATATCAATTCTTGATTCAACTCAACTCAACTCGCAGCTACAGCTTCATAGCAAATGGGTTACCCAATAATTGCTCTGTTCCTTTGCCGAAAAAAAATCACACATAATGCCTCAATCTCTTGTGAAAAAAACTGACAGACTGCAGTCTCCACAAAAGACAGTAGCATAGATGCACATTAAATGCACAAGGCAGCCTTTGGAGTGCCAAGACAAACAGCCTGTCAATAGAAATGCAGTTCATCATTGATGGAAGCAATAGTTACAACATATCAGCAGTTGCACAGATAATTAATTGCATAAAACCCCACCAATTTTGTAGTAACAGGCCACTTGCCATTTTCTGAATCTGCAGTTCACAACACAAACCACGTTCTGCTTTGTGGAAAAGTATTTCAAATGTATCTGCAGCTCCCACTGTCACACCATACACTCACCTCAGTAGCAAGGTGATGGAATTTTATCTTTCCAGTCTATGTATGGAGGAAAATGCAAAGGCTAACTATTGTCAGAAGCAGGAACTTGCCACACACAAAAACAGAAATGAAATAAAAATTTTGATGCAGTCAGTATGGCACAGATCACTGTGGGTTACCTCTCATGCCTTGCGAGTCAGCTAGTAGACTCTGGTCAAAACATTAACTATTCCTGCTATAAAAGGTGCATGTTTCTTTATTCTTTCTAGCCGACTCTTCTGTTATGTTCACATAACTGTCTTGGCTGTTATCATAACATCTTCTGTACCAAAGCTGCTTTCTTCATTTCATAAGATTTATAAAAATTTGTTGCTGTAAGGAAAAAAACATTAGGATAGACAATGTTGAAATAACAACTACTTGAAACTGAAAGAGTTAACTTCCACACAGGTTGCTTAAACTGCTATCTCATGAAATCTTCATCACATGAAGACATTTATCACTAAGCCTCTTATATTTCACACATTCTGCCTCCTGATGTGTTCTTGCTGTTTCTCAATGCCATGTTGCTGATAGTCTTACCAGAATGAATACCGGTGCAGTCATTGTGCTCTTTTACTTTCTGATGCCATCATGTCTGATCAGAAAACTCTTCAGTTAATTATCACTGTGACACTCCTATCCCAAGAATAGATAGAAAGCATTCAAAAATCACACTTAACCTTACTCACCTGAATCGACACAACTGGTCAATGCTTGTATGAAAGGTAGTGAGCTAACAGACTAACTGGCTAAAAATGCATTATTGCATGCAAGAAAAAGCATGGACAGAGCAGATATCATAAATGCTGTAAGGACTGGGCTATTGTATAATGATAAACCTCTGACACTAACATGATTGTACTACCTGGGAGTAAATCGTGGTGAAGCACATCTATGCTGCCTTCAATGCCTAAGATAGGAAACAGTGTAATCAATTTTTTATGGGATACAATCCGCAATGGTACCTTGGAGTGGCTTCTGCATTGGAGAACTGAGCACACGTGGGAATGTCCAATGTGCAGTGGTGACATTTGTGAGAACAAAACATATCCCTAGAAGCTCTATTTCAAAGTACCCAATCTGCGGACATGGAGAAGTTATAATAACACTGTTCGATAGAAAGAGCAGAGCTAGCAATTATGATAAATTTCAACAAAGAAGACACAAACAGTAGATTGCATTTCTTTATTGCCTCAAACATTTTGCTGTATTTCGTCAGGTAACACTACAGTAACAATTGATTAAAATAAAGCAAATGAATGAATCCTTTGAACTGAAACAGCCAGTCGCAGATTACTGAGATTTGTGGAAGCAACCGCTATAAACCAGTCTAGTCCAGAATTATGCAGACAAAAGGACATACTTCTCACTTTGCATTTACCCTGGTAAAATAGATAGTTTTTGAATGTAGTCAATTTTGTGTTTCAGTTTGAAGGATTCATTTATTTAATTCATTTTAATCAACTGTTACTGCAGCATGCACCTGAAAAAGATAGAGCGAAATATGCCAGGCAATAAATTGTGCAATCTATTGTTAAGTGTCTTCTTTGTTCAAACTGACAACAGGGAAACATTGCTTAGATGGTGATAAAATAGCAAAGGACCCATTTCACACCAATGGTGCTCAAGGCATATAAGGCTAGACACATTTTTATCAACCAGTTTGACCAATCACAGGTATTCAAGGAGTGATGTGGTTGGCATCACACCAGCCACCTTTACTTCCCAGAACACTGCCTGGTACCCATTTTAGGCTGAGTCAACCTAGTAGCCATAGGAATCACACAAAAAAAAAAAAAATCAGCCATAATGCGGGTTAGAACCGGAGACATTTTTACCTGTTGTAATTGTGCATAGAAACAAGAAACAATCATGTTGTTATGAGAAATTTTTAAACTTCTAGTTTGCTTCATGGTTTTGTTTTTTGTTTCTTGGTGGAATGCAAAAACCAGGAGAGCTAATCATAACAGTTTTTTATTTAAGTAATATTACATTATAGCAGTGGAAATAATTTGTTGGACAAATTGGTTAGCATCAATTTCCTCGTAATTTTGCAGGGAAGTTCTAAACCAGAATGAGTGAAAAATCTTTCCTTCATTTTTACAAGTCCATTGTATTTGTACTATTATGGCTAATTACATTCCACAGGGACAGAATAATTATGTAGTCTAAATTCTGGAAAGAAACATGGCAGTTTAAGAAAACTGCTGAAAAATTAAAAAGTCACAAAAACGTGGAAAATATAAGCGCAGTCATTCTGGGGGTAATAAGGCAGTGTGACTGTACATTTTCTAAGTCATAAAGGCAGTTTGAATGCATATTTTCTTACAGGGTCCAAATAATTTTTAGGGAAAAAACATTCTCACAAGAAAGAAGATTGGCAGTACAATTTGAAGATCATTTAGTAGCAGAAAATTGCTTTTATCATGTCCCACCAGAAATCTGCCTGGTGCCGTTATTGAGGACAAGAAGTGTGAATGAATAAACGAATGAACAAACAAACTTTATTTTAAAAGGGTTAAGAATTGGGCACACAGGCCCATCTTATATTCTGCTCTTCTGGCCTCAAGCCATGCATACATTGTTCATGCACACCTTGTTTTAGCAGATAATAATAATAATATTAATAGGTATCGTCAACAACATCTTTGTAACAATGTGCTCTAAGTATGCCTATATTTTAAAACAATTATAATACTAAATATAATAAATCTTGGTGAAAATCAACAGTATAGAGACATTGTAATCAGCTTCTCATGCGAACTGTCAGTAAAGGTACTTTGGGGTGGCTGCAGCAATTGAGAACTAAGCACACATAAAAATACCCAGTGTGCAGTGATGTCGATTGTAATAACATTTTTTAAAAAAGCTATTTGTGTATTCTTTACAGGACGTTGCAGAACCAACCCCAGCACTTTTTGGGTGTTTTGGTTTTTTTTAAAGGCAAATTTACCTCCAGCAGTTTACCATTGCTTTCTGGGATGGTCTGGGGGGGGGGGGGGGGGGGGGGGGGGGGGGGGGGGGGGGCAGTAGCTACCTTGAACAAATTTAAGAGGCGCTTGGGCTGTCCAAGATGGAGGTAGTAACCTCAGGTGCTGTGAGGTCATTAAATTTAAATAAGGCGATGGTAGATACGCGTGCGCGCGCGCGCACACACACACACACACACACACACAGAGAGAGAGAGAGAGAGAGAGAGAGAGAGAAGAGAGAGAGAGAGAGAGAGAGAGAGAGAGTTTCCAGGTCCTGAAATCTAGCAAAGTCAACGAGTTGAAGTTAAAAATGTCTACAGTTTTGTTTTTTGAAACCGAAACAAATGTTTTTATTTCTGTTCTCACAGCCAATGAGCAGGCTGTATTTCCATGGCCCTCGGTTCAGATACCAAGTACGCTGGAGATTAAAGGGCACATTTACATGGAACTCTGCTTATGTAACTAACCCCAGCCAAGGTTTCCTGAACATCGAAACCAATGACATCTACACGGTGTATGAGCTGCAGGTCAAGGCAGAGAACTCTATGGGAGAGTCACATCAGCCTGCATTTATCTACCAGGGTCACTCTGGAGAGTCAGGTAAAACGAGAATTTTATTTTTATTTCACTTGCAAACTTTACACAAAATGTAAAATCTGTGAGTCAGACATGTGCATTGGGAATTGGCACCTGGGACAACAGATCACATCCTCCAAGACTGTTCCAAATACAACATACATATCAAGGCAAAACCTTTGGCCAAGAGAAACATCAGTGCAAGCCAAATGTTACGGATAACTGAGTGAACTACAACAGACAGTGAAGTTCATACTTGCAAATATAGATAATCTATTTCAAGTGAACGAAAGAAAAAGAAGATCATTAAAATTTTATTGAACACAAATACTTATTTTTTCCTTCCACGTATGCCGCTAAGCGTTGTGGGGAGATGCAAGTTCCTGTCATAAGCAAGGCGGGCAGCATCTGATGTTCTGAGGCCATGCTTTTGTCAGGTTTCGGAGACCCCGTCAATCCACCGTTTCCTTGGTCTTCCTCTTGCCTTATATCCTGAGCTTCTTTGGTTGAAAATTTGTGATGTTATTTGATCATTTTTCATCCTGGTTAGATGTCCAAACCATTTCATTCTTTGATGTTCTATGTAGTCTAAACATGGCGTAGTTTTGACAGTGTTTCTAATGTCTATATTCTTTATCCTGTCTAGTCTGGTCTTATTCGCTGCTTTTCTTAGACATTTCATTTCACAGGCTTCTATTTGTCTTTCATGGGTCTTGTGGAACACAAATAATGTGTTATAAATACTGTTAAAAAAAAATTAACGGCATTTATTTGATGGTGCTTTCCTGTTTAAATCTGCATAGTTACCAGGTGCTGTATTTTTATTAGTTGCTTGGTAAACCTGTACACTTAAAAAAATATCAATGATCCCTGTGCAAAAGAATCTCAGCTGATTGGTTGAATCTTTAGGTACTCTTGTTTATAATTTTAACAGTTTTACTGATTAAATATGAAGATTTTGAATGCCAAAACATGATAAAAACTATGTTCCTTAGGGTAGCTATGCAGTTTATTTTCTTTGGTAAGGTGCCACCAAATAACTGTTGTTAATTTTAGGAAGGTGTCATAAAAATTTTTTATTTTTTATTTTTGTAACAGAAAATGCAGACACAGACAATATATTTCTTTAACTGTCCAGATTGTAGGCATCTTAAACTAAACTGTCTAGATTGAAGGCATCTTCAGCTGTCAAAATTGTAGTCATCTTTGACTGTCTAGATTGTAGTCATCTTAAACTGTCTAGATTGAAGGCATCTTCAGCTGTCAAGATTGTAGTCATCTTTGACTGTCTAGATTGTAGTCATCTTTAATTGTCTAGATTGTAGTCATCTTCAACTGTCTAGATTGTAGTCATCTTCAACTGTCTAGATTGTAGTCATCTTTAATGGTCTATTATTGTAGTCATCTTTAATTGTCTAGATTGTAATCATCTTCAACTGTCTAGATTTTAGTCATCTTCAACTGTCTAGATTATAGTCATCTTTAATTGTCTTGATTGTAATCATCTTTAACTGTCTAGATTGTAGCCATCTTTAACTGCCTAACCTGCCAGGGGTTAGTAAAATAAGTAAAGCAAAGGATATTTTCCTGCTATAGATGCACCAGGCTAAACACATATATTTATAGATAGTCAGTGCTCGATAGACCATGTGGTCAGCATCATGTTTACCATCTTTACGTCCCAGGACAGTTGAGAACTGAAACCATAGCACTCCATTAAGCGCTCCATCCCCATCTTTAGCAGCAAGTGCCAAGTTCCAATTCCAGTGGCATCAGATGCAGTCTGATTGTTTATCCATCTTACCCCCCTTCCTCCCCCCCCCCCCCCCCCAATGTTGAGCATCAACCAAATTCCGTGGTCATTCCTCCTGCATAATTCTCTTCAGACCTTGATGATCTGTCTGTGCCTCTGCACTGTTTATTTGCTCCCAAAAAGGGCTTACAAGATCTAGCTTGTCATGGATCAGTTTACCCTGAAGTGGTGCAGAACCAGCCAGGCTGTTTTTCTGTTCTTGCCTAACACACCAGCATAATCCGGAAAGCACAATCTTTATCAGCTAAGTGTCCAGAGTCAAATGTCGAAGAATTTGGTTCCCTCTTCTTGTCTGATCTTGATGCAGGTTCTCCATTCAGTTGTGTGTAGAACCATTTAGAGATGTGTTCTGCTACTTTGCTTTCAAGCTGTCTCTAGTCACGTAGTTGATAAAGAGTGTGCTTTCAAGATTATTTACCACACACTGAAAAGACATTTGCTAAAATTCATTTTATGCTTCATTATATGTTGATTTAACTCTGCAGTAATGCTCCTAACTAGATACAGCGAAATATGCCAGGCAATAAATTGTGCAATGTTTTTTTTCTGTCTGCATTATTTAAATTTACAATAGGGAAACATTGTTTTGAAATACCAATTTGTCTACAAAAATAATTATCTGGCACCATATGCCTACTAACCACCACTGGCATGAAAAGTTTTTTTTTTTTTTTTCTTAACTTGTTTAAAAAAAATAAGTGAGTTGGGCTTGTCACTGAATCTCTTGTCTTATTTTTTTTTCAGAACCACTGATCACACCAACCAATTTCTCACTAAACCCAAGTTATGCCATTGAACCACATACTGTTCATCTTGTCTGGGACTCTATTGATCCAAGCAATCACCTTTTATGTGGGAAATTCAAAGGTTTCAAGGTAAACCCTATCTACTGACCCATCCACACGTGCACGCACACACAAACATGCACACACACAGCAACAACAACAGTAACAGCAACAACAAAGAAAGAAAATATAGCATTCTTTAAGGTACATAAACTTTAGGATGTTTGGTTAGAACCTTTCCATCTTTTCAATGAATGGATTCCATGGATGATATTTCCCCTCTCCACAGCACACAGCCTGCTCATTACTGTAGAGACCACATGTTGCCCCGTAGCAAAATCCTTCCCTCAGCTTTTTTTTTGTTAACTCCACCAGATCAAAGACAACACCAATACATTAGGAATAAAGCATGCTAGAGAAGCTGCTAAATATGAAGAGCAGTCCACCTGTTGGAGTTTCCATCCTGACCAACTGCAAGATCTGCTGTCCTACAAAACTAGGTTTTTAGGTTGCATTTCCTCGTCCTAGGATACGACTTGTATCCTGCTTAATTGACTCCTCCCAAAACCTTAGACAGTGTTGAAAAAACAACTGCCTGTGGCTGAAAGAAGCTTTAAAACAAGTTTTTAAGTTACCACAACCGCAAGATTCTTACCCACTTTGAACAGTAGGTCATAGAGCAGTAGTGTTTCAAAATCATTATAATAACATAACATAAACTGTGACCTATTAGTGTTGTGTAGGCGTATCAATGGAAGCACTAACACACAAAACCTGCCATATTTTCCTTTCTTCTGTTTGTTGAACAAGTGTATGATAACTTAGTCTAGTCTATTTCTTGATGTTGTCCTCTTCTTTGACTACCCCAAAATGTTCCTTGAAGTGCAGTCTTTAAACTGAATCATGTCTCACCATATGCCCAAGTCAAGCTAACTTGTGATGTTTCACCACTGCTAAGAGAGGCACCTCAAGACCTGCAAATTTGTTTACTTTGTCTCTGAGATATTATGTTTTGTGCTCTAAATAACTAATTCATAAAATTTGTCTATAGCATTTACTTTCGTAACCTGAATCCTCCTTTCCAATACATCAGTGTAAGAAAAAATACAGCACCAGTGATTTGTACATAATACCTTCACTGTGATGCTGATGTTGCTCTCCCACATGGTATTCAGCTGGGACATCATGGCTGTTGCCATATCAAGTCTTGTCTTGATCTCTTTGATAACCATTATAGCTAATTATAATTATATGAATATTACCAGGATGGGCTGTCCTGGGAAAGTAAAGACAGCCGACGTAATGCTGACCACATTACCCACAGAGTGCTGATGGTCTGTAAAAATATGGGACGCTCTGCCCATATGCCCGATGCGCTGAAAGGCGTGAAAAGGGAATTATACCTGTATTTAATATATAAATATAATTATGTTAATTAGAAACACTTATGAGGTTTAATGGGATCAATGCAACAGCTGATCAATGGCAATTCACATTTTGGTGACATCATTGTATACTCAAATGGATCTGTTATTTAAAAAAAAGTGAATATCCATTTTCACGCCCTCTAGGCACATCGGGCATATGGGAAGAGAACTCATATTTTTACAGACCATTCGGCACTAGGTGGGTAATGTGATCAGCATTACGCCGGCCGTCTTTACTTCCCTAGGACATACATCCTGATACCCATTTTATGCTGGGTTGACCTGCGACGTCTTATACCATGATAAAAATACACGCAACCAGCAGTGAGTTTCGATCGTGGTACATTGGAAGTACGAGTCGGACTTGCAACGCCTAAACAACGGATGATGCGATGAATCTGTAGTGAGAGGTAAAAAAAGAGTGGGTTGGGTTTTCTTTCAAAGGGGAAGTTTCATTGTTTAAAAAAAGGGAGCTCAGGATATAAGATCACAAACTCAAGCTGTGGAATGGAGGCAGAGGCAGTAACAGCAGCTTTCTGATGGATGGAGAGTAGTACTATCTGTCTTCTTGTGACTGTAATGGACTCACAGAGCTTCGAATTATAGAGACCTGTGTCCTGCATGCGAAATGGCTTGCTTTGCCTTGAGTCAGATCAAGATCAGGAGTATATCTTGGAGTTTCTGCCCAGTTGATTCTCGTGTACGAGGTAATAAACAGGCTGATAGGTTGGTTTCTGAGCTATTTTATGATAAAGTGGACACTGCAAAGGATTTCTTGGGTCAAGTTATCTTATGTTGTGTTGGGTTAAGTGGGAAGTGCAGTGGAAAGGACAAAGTATCCATACCTCAAAAGACTAATTCAATAGAGAGTAGGCAGAGGGTCTGAAGGGTTTTCAACATGCATGGGAAAAGAAAGGCAGACTTTTAACCAGATTGCAGATGGCACCATCCGTATGGGAACTCTTCGTTGGCAACTATGAGTAAGGACAGAGCAATATGGGAAATCAAGAGGCATAAATTATTGATGATTTTATTTTATTTTTATGATTCATAATGTGACATGAATCATGGACAGTTTGTAATTTAGTGAAAACTTTTTTGGAAGCTGCGGAGATGTGGTTTTATAGACGAATGATGGAAATACCCTGGAGTAACAAGAGTAATGAAGATGTCTTGAAAGAAACTGGCTCACGAAAAGAACTGATTGCCCACATCAGAAAGAGACGATTTACATTCTGTGGTCATGTGATGAGAAGGAGAAAACTGGAGTACATCGTGACAGTAGGAAAGTTGGAGGGGAGGAGAGGCAGAGGGAGACCAAGAGAACAGATGCTGGACGGTTTGACATCATGGCATGGAAGATCATCTTGCCTGATTTGATTGAAATTACACAAGGCAGAAGGTTGTGGATAGACATGACAACCAATGCCACACGGCATGGACTTTAGGAATAAGAATGATTTATAAAAATTAAGAATCTGGACTTGGCCCTGATGAAATGCTATCCAGATTATTACTCATTGAGTCACATATATAGTCAAACTATCAGGCAGAACTCAGAATTGAAAAACAAACATAGTGAGTACGCTATATTATTCTAAAACACATAATAGTAAAGTAAAGGTCCCTTTTCCCCACCTTTAAGTGTACTAGGAATAAGGGGCTAGACCTATATTTTTATAAACCAGTCGACACTTGGTGGATAATGTGATCAGCATCACACCGGCCACGTTTACTTTCCAGGACAACACCTGGTACCTGCTGGTACCCACTCAAGGCTAGGTCAACCTGGGAGTCAAAATCATTTTTGAAAAACAGTCTGGCCCCACTGGGAGGCAAACCCACGACCTTCCAATCCACAGGCGGGCGTCAAGCCACCAAAGCCACTGTGACTTTCATTCCAAATCACATATTTTAATCTGATTCTGTTTTCCCCCAGCTTCTTTATTGGAAATCAAGTGAACACTGGGCCAGAAAAACTGAAATAGACATTGTCCTGGAAGAAGAAGTTTATGGGCACAGTCCTCAGATTAAAGTCACCCTGTCTGACCTGCCAGCACACTCAGCCCTGAGAACACAGGTGGCAGTCATGAATTCTCATCACACAGGGCCCTTCAGTGAGATTATTGATTTCTTCACACCAGAAGGAGGTAGGTCATTGGGGGCCTGTGTTCAGAGATAATGAAAGTTCACATTGTCTGTATGCTATAGTTGCCTCCCTTAGTTGTGTGGGGTCTGTCTAGGGACTATTTGTTTTGTTGTTGTTGTTGTTGTTGATGTTGTTGGGGAGGAGGAGGGAGGAATAGAACAGACCTGCTGCCTCTTTTAAAAGGAGTATGTTGTAAAAGGGAACTAATAAGAGTTAGCTGAAACAGGTTATGCTGCACCCAAAAAGGCCGATTTTACAGCCAAGCTGTAAATCACAAAACAGCTTGCTAATAATCATTTTGAGGTGGTTTTTCTGCTGAAGAAGATATCCTCAGAAATAAGTAACCAATGAGCCTTGAGATTCCAAAAACAAAACACTATTCTTGCATTCTTCTAGAACAGATCAATCCCACATGTACTCGCTGTAACCAAATTCTAATTTCAACTTTTTCTAGAACAGACCTGCTGCCACTTTAAAAAAAAAAAAAAGAAAGTATGTTGTAAAAGGGAACCAATTAGAGTTTGCTTAAACTGGTTATGTTGCACATGCACACGCAGATACACACACACAGATACACCACACACACACACACACACACACACAGAGATAGAGAGAGATATTGCAATGAAGCTTTAAATCACAAAACAACATGCTAGTAATCCTTTTAAGGTGATTTTTCTGCTGAAGAAGATATCCTCAGAAATAAATAACTGTGGAGCCCTTGAGACCAGAAGCACATGATAAACAAATTAACCTGTATTGATTGGTATTCAGAATGAAGTAGAGAAAGGAGAACACACTAGGCAGCATAAAAATAAAAAAAACGTCATTATATCTTTCAATGATTTGCTATGTGTGTCAAGCAGCACATGATATGTTATTATATCTTTTATATTTGGTCCATGTTCCTGAAAAATCTGGCTAGTTATTTTAACATGCTGCATAGATTTCGAAATTTTATATATTTGTAATATCTTAAATGTGTTGATGAGAATTTCCATTGTAATATGTTTTTCAGTGCAGTTAAAGAGCATGTGTTTTTTTATTCTGCATGAATAAAAAGTTAAAATTATCATTTGATATAGCGTATCATTTTCAACATTGGACCAAAGAAAAAAACTAAGAAACAAGAGAAGAAGAAAAGGACAATGGAAATTAACAAAGAGATTGTGAAAATAATGTGAGAAAGGAGTCAGGAAAACTGATTAGTGCAAGCAGTATAACTTGCCCAAGTCCAGCAGAGCTACAAATATAAAGAAAGCAAATTTTTACAAGGAACTAGCTGTGGCCAAAGCAAAATCTATCATGTCTTCTCAAAGAAATAAAGTTATAGAAAACATAGAAACCTTTCTACTTGTCTGGATAAGTGACATTCAATTAAAAGTTGATAGTTTATCTAAAAATATGATAATTTTAAAGCTTAAATCATTTACAGGGATCAATCACAGATGTTGCCATCCGCTGTCAGTAGCAAAGAAAAGTTTACAAGATGGTTTGAAAAATTCCAGAAAAGAATCGGTATCCAATGAGTTGTTAGACACAGAAAAGGAGCTAGTGCCGACCAAAAAAAAAAAAAAAATTAAGCTGCCGAAAAGTTTCTGAAGCAATTTTACAAACTGATGGAGTCAGAGGTTTTCAACTTTTATGAAAGTGGGTTTTTCTAGAAGAAAGTGCCTAAGAGAACGTTCGCCAACAAGGAAAGAATAGCATTGCCAGGAAACAAGCCAATGAAAGGCAAAGTAAATTTGCTCTTTTGAACCAATGCCAGTGGTGATCTAAAGATAAAACCTCTTTTGGTTTATCACTCTGAACATCTAGTCTGTCTAGAATCCTTTTTTTAATCTTTTTTTTTATTCTTTTTATAAATATTTAATGTAAGAACAGATTATTTGATTTTCTGTTAGATGTAATAGCAAAGTGGGTTTGGAGATATAAACTTTTAAAGATATAAACTTTTTGAGATACAAACCACGGTCAGGAATTAAGTTCGTAGGTCGAGGTACCAATCTCTGTATACAGTAAAACCTCGTTACCATGAACTTGCTTAAAGTTTACATGAATGTTTTATTTTTAGTCCTAAGTTAACATTTTTTTACATGAATTTAACTTAACAATCTATTATCCTACAGTAGTTTACAATTAATATATAATCTAGGGAATTTTAACCAAAGTAATTGATATGCATAAATATCCATTATTAACTCTTTGAGTCCCAAGGGGTTTAGCATCACAGACCCAAGGGGTAGTCAAGAGAGATGTAAAACTGGCTCATCATGCATTCATTGGGCCTCTAGGTAGGAATCTATGAACGTATGATGCGTTCCTTGGGACTCAAAGAGTTAAATAGAAGAAAAAAATGCTATGTATCCCAGTTAAAACCCCAATGGGTTGAAACAGGATATTTTTGTTTACATTACTACAACTCGCCCTTCCTCTCACCTTTATCTATACCTCCAGTGCCAAGTGCAGTCAGAGAACTTCATCTACAGGCTTTTGGTATAGCTTATGTACTGTTGCAGTGGAAGCCGCCATTGAAACCAAATGGTATCATTCTTGGTTACGATATTGCTTACCAGCAAGGTAAGTGGTTAAGTGGTGCCCACCAATAATATATAAATGCAATACTACTGCAGTTGAAACGGACACCTAACTTCAAACTTGTACCACAATTTACTTGAAGGAATTATTGTTTCAGTCTTGACATAAAGGAAGATTTCATCCTGAACAATGCATTGATGTTCATTCATTTTTTTTTTGCACTTTTATTCTTTGCAAATGCGACCTCTGTTTCAGTAGGGTGTGTGACCTTCTCTGGCCTCTAATATAGAAGAGCATCCCTTGGGCATTGATCTGATAAGCCATTAGATCTGTTATTGTCAGATGGTTTCCCACTCTTCTTGGCGTGCAAGATATAACTGTTGGCGATCAACTGGAGCCACATCTCATTGATTAGACTAGTCTGTTGAGTTCATCCCATAAAAGTTCTCTGGGGTTCGGGTTTGATGACATGGCTGGTGATGTATAATTTGGCATTCAGGTGCCTTCAGTTTTGCACAAGGTCACTTCATCCCTTGAAGCTGATCGCTTTCCTACATAAGTACACCTCAACCACCATATGGCAGGGCCTCATCCATGCAATTCTAGGTATAGCACTCGTAGATTGTACGGTAAACACTTTATCCATCTATCATGACTATTGAGCATAAGGAATGATTTATCAATAAACCAAACCATTCTTCAAGTCACTTCCAATTGTCTATTGATGATGCTAGTTTGCTCAGAGCAATTGGTTCTCACAATATCGTTTAGAAGGACCAATAAGCTAGCATCATTCGTCTGGTTTCTGATCATTTGAGCTGAAATTGAAGAGCTGTTGGCATTGACTGGACTGTAGACAACACAGATGCAAATTGATTCCTGAGGTGATGGAGCCATATGATCTTAGGCAGGTGTTGTTATTCTGGGTCTTTCACTGCATCTGATCTGATCTGATCTGCCATTAAACCAGTTTCTTGAAACTGTCTCCTAAGGTGACTAACAGTACTTGTAATCCCATTTCATTGTTGGGCCACTACACTTTGTAACTGGCCAGCCTGTAAATGGCTAGTGACACTGTGTCTCTGTTCTGTTTTTAGGAGAGCCATACTTGCGCATTCAATTTTCAGCTGAATTTATCTTATTCTTTTTCTTCTTTGAGTTCAGTTTTGCATGCTCAGATCAGGCCAACAGGTGCGATTTTTGAAGAAATTCAGACAAACAGACAGACACACACACACACACACACACACACACACACACACACGCATGCATGCACACACACACATACGCACACACCCACACACAGTTCTCAAACCTGACATAACTAAAGCATAGATAGCCTTATTACAAACTTTTGAATTCAGAGTCTTACTATAAATCTGAATCTATCAATTATGTAAGCCCTTGCAAAGCAACAAAAAAATTTGTAAGCTTTTTAAATCATCACTGATCACTGGCATTATGAGGGCTAATAGTCTGTGATGTCTGGGGCACATATAGATAATGGCAGGCAATAGAGAGACTGTAATGTGTTGACTGGTGCAGATAACCTACTGCACCTTTCCACACCTTTGGCGGCAACACTTTTTGTAGTCAACAGGGCTTTCAGAACTGCTGTAATTTTATAGCCATAAGACATAAGTCTGTCTGCCGTAGACTTACATTTGTATTTCTTTACCTCCATAGATGACTTCTATTCCCGCTGTTCTCAATTTCCAACAGTTATGTAGTGTTTCTGTTGATTAACCCAAAACCTAAACCATGGGCTTACCTCCTTCTAGTTCTTCGTTGCCTCTGGATTCTTTCAGTCGGATGGCCTCCATTTCTACAATAACCCTGTTTACATACAGTCTCTAGGCTCCAGTCATTTGCAGAATTCTCAGATGCACGCTGACTTACTGGTCAACGTGTTGAATCAATAAATGAGATGAAGATCAGCTGATGTCAAACGTTTATTCATTCACAGGACTGTCTCTGTGTCAGTGCAAACTGAGGTGATGGTTGAAGGACCACAACTCAACAATCTGCAAACTGAGGTGATGGTTGAAGGACCACAACTCAACAAACTGATAGCAAAATTGTACAAATTGGAAATAATTATTTTCATAATGAAAATGCACATGAACAATCCCACAGTGACAGTTTGACAAGAACAATCTTCCCCGCTGAACAAACACAAATGTCCAGCCTTGACCAGAATTGTCAAAGCGAACGGTAGTCAGATTCAATCCCTGAGTGCTGTGATGTCAATTCTTGACTCAATTTAAAAAATCTTAAAACTGGCAGCCAAATCTAGCTCAGTCATCCACTTGTAACTTGATTTACTCAACAGATACTTTCTCCGCCAACAAATATGCTGCTCCTCAATCTTGAAACACTACTCAGACACAGACTGAAACAAGACTCCAAAACTGATCATTCCAATTGTATTTTTGTTTATTCTCACATGTAAACACTCCTTTCTCTCACTTGGCATGGTTTAGACAATCCGCCCCATTTGGCTCATATTTTCCATGCAACACACTTCATAAATTTCGTTTACCTGAACATAATTTAGATTCAGTCTCTGACTCATTATTAACCTAAACATAAATTATCAGTTAGAAAATGACACATTACAGAGACAAAAACTGTACAGAAAAGAATTGAATAGGAAAAGACCACATGACAGACCAAGAAGATTGAGAAATAATTTTAGGCTGATCTACTCACTCTTGGAGTTTTGAATTGGAAAAAAAAGATGAATGGAGGCAGGTGATATCAAAGAATGATCACAATGAAGACAAAACTGTATGGTACACGAGAGGATATGGACTGCACGATAGCTTTCATAAAGGCTACCGGCCTCCTGATATAAATTTTCCGACAGAAGGATCGAAGAAGAAGAAGCAGTCAGTCCTCTTTGTTAGTTTCATGCACACTATAACTGTTAGCCATAGGGCACTGATGTGTATGTTAACTCTTTCAGTCCCAAGGAATGCCTCATACATAAATAGGTTCCTACCTAGAAGCCCAGTGAATGCAAGATGAGCTGATTTTATAGTCTCTTTTGACTGTCCTTTGGGCCTCTGATGCTAAACCCTCTGGGACTGAAAGAATTAAGGGGGCTGCCAGGTCGACCCTACCTAAAATGGGTACCAGGTAATATCCCGGGTAGTAAAGGTGGCCTTGTGATGATGATCACATCAACTGTCAAGTGCCGATTAGTCTATCATAATTTACATTTCCCCCTAACACCTCGCTGAGGTAAGAGGTGGAAGACAAGAAGAAGAAGAACTTTTTACTGAGCACATATGGAGGTGTCCAGTGTGCTCTGGGGGATAACCCAACTCATAAATTACTGTGAGTATTCTGACGATGCATGTAAATTTCCTTTGGGCATATTTCAGTTTTTGACATGCATCTTGGCCAAGCCAGGCCTCTCTTGCCTCACATTAACAACCCTTCGACACTGGGAGCTCGCATCACAGGACTGCAGCCAGCTCATCGATACAGATTCATTGTGTGGGCTAGGACTAAACAAGGTCGTGGAGAACCATCCTTCGTGGATACCAAGACAGCCAATGGACACCGTAAGTATCATGACGAAGGTAAAGATTTTCCCATAGCATTGGTATCTGTGGCTCAGAAGTTGTGAACACAGTTTTACAATCTTGACACACCAGTGTTTGGAGTCAGCTGCAGATAACTAGGAAGCAGACTGCTTTGAATTGATTTTGAAAATGATATGAGCATTGTGTTAAAGAAAGTAATAGAAAATTATCAAATGCAAAATTGCCCAGTAGTTGGAAGGATACTGACATTTGCAGATAGTTTACTCACATATACTCAGAGATGGTATACTCGTTTTGACAAAAGTGTTCAATGATATTTATAACCTTTACCAAAAATACCGGGTGCAGTGGAATGTGGAGAACATCGAACAATAAGTTTAATGAGTCATATAACTAAAATATTAATGAGAATTATCATGAGAAAAATAAGATTTTGTTGAAGGTAATGGCACAAACAACGCCATATTTATCTTGAGAACACCTTCAGAAAGAATGATTGACATGAATAGAGATCTGTATTTGTGCTTTATTGATTACACTAAAGTATTTGATAAAGTGAAACATGAAGAATTTATTAGAATTTTTTAAACCGTAAACATTTGTGGTAAAGATCTGAGAATAATAAAACAAAACACATACTGGCAACAAGAAGCAGCCACAAAAATTGACAACCAAGTTGGAACTTTTCAAAACATGAAACAAGGCATTAAATAGGAATGTGTACTATCACCCGATTTATTCAGGTTTTATATCAAAGAGATAACTGACCCGCCAGCTAAACACTCTTATAAAACAATCAAATCGTTCTCCAGTGGATCCCGGCTCACTGCTGCATACCAGGAAATGAGTTAGCACACAGACTTGCTAAAAATGGAACAAAGGAGAAACAACACACCTATTCGCTGTCATTACCAGAAATCAAAACACTCAACAAGGGAAAATAAAAAGAATTTTAGAGAGAACAAACCAACAGTAAACATCCACAAGACCCCATCAGCAGACTCAACAGAAAGCAATATACAACAGTTTTCTGTCTACAAACAGGACACTGCAGGCTCAACTACCACATGCATAAAATAAAGACTGTAGTCCCCACAGTGTGCCTGTCAAGCAGGACCACAAACACCTGAACACATTGTGTAGACCTGCCCACTCTACCTACAACTTCGAGAAAAAAAACCTGGTCTCAAAAGAAGAATGCGCAGAGCAAGCTATGGGGAACCATGAAGGACCTGCTGTTGACATGCGAGTTCATAGAGGCAACCTACCTAATGGTCTGATCTGAGCATACTAAACTGAACACACAGAAGAAGAAGAAGAATTCAATTTGTACAGTGAAATAATAATTAGATACATACATGGTATGCCAAGAATATCAGTTGGTGGGCATATTGTTAACAACCTGCGATATGCTGACAATATAGTTCTGACTGCTGAAAATGTAACAACTGCAAGAAATAATGGATGTAATCGTAATGGAAAGTGAAATAAAAAGTCTTTAAACAGCAAAAAAAAACCCAGAAGAAATGGTAATTACAAAGAAAACTGACCTTCCAAAATGCAACATAAAAGTAAATGGGACAAACCTCAAGCAAGCTGACGTGTTTAAATACTTGGGTACCCTGATAACATCAGATAGAAGATGTATTAGAGAAGTTAAATGTAGATTAGCTCAAGCAAAGGCAGAATTTTAGGAAAAGAAAACATTTTATGCAACCTTTCTTTGTCAATTAAGATGAGAAAGAGAATTCTTAAAAGCTTTATAAATTATATCTTGATATATGGAAGTGAATCATGGACAGTTGGTAAATTAGTGAAAAATTATTTGGAAGCTACGGAGATGTGGTTTTATAGACGAATGATGAGAATACCCTGGACAAACAAAAAGAGCAATGAAGGTGTCTTGAAAGAAACTACACGAGCTACAGGCAACTGTTGACAAAGTGACTCACTGGTGTGCAGAAATGGGTGCTGTCATCAACTCAGAAAAGGCAGCTGTTTTGTGGTGCTCTGTAGACAATAGAATTGCAAAAGCTGACGTTCCAAACCTCACAGTTATTAACAGTAACATCAAAAGAGAAAGCAAACTGAGTTATCTGGGTATCATTTTCAATAGAAGCCTGTCCTTCAGGGATCATGTGGAGGCAGTTGCAGTGAAGTGCCAAATAGGACTCAATGCTCTCAAGATTATGGCAGCAATGGACATGGAACAAAGAATGCTGTTCGCAATGTTCCAGTAGGTTATTGTGTTGGTAATAGATTATGGACTTGGCATGCTTACCATATCAAAGACTTAGCTGATGAAACTTGAATGCATACAGAATGAAGCCATGCGGGTAATTCTGGGATGTACAAGAGATACCCCGGTAGTATGTATGCGATGTATACTTGAACTGCCTACTATTGCAGATAGGCTCAAAGTTCTGCAAGCAAAGTCAAATCTCAGAGTAGCTGCGGACAAGAGGCACCTCCTGCATGAAGCCCTGAATAGAAGTAAGGGTCACAGACTGAAAAGAGGAAAGTCTTGGATGGCGCTAGTTGAAGACACAAATTGGGCATGTGTGCAGGCGTGATAAATTTAGGTGATGAGAGGAGTGGGTCAAAGTGTCGGATCATGTTTCAGACTTGTGTAGGGTTCTAATCACTTTGGGACATGAGTGCAGGGACTGGCCAGCTGGTGCTGCAGAATCAGAAGTTCAACAAATGATTCATGACAATTCCCGCCCAGGTGATGTGATTGTAAATACAGATGGCTCTGTGTTAAGGGGTAGACAAAGTGCATGGGGGTTCATAGCGAAGGTGAATGAATGTCCCTTGGTGCAACAAAAGCCTTGCATATGATATCATAAAGTCTTGTTTGAGAATAGAGGTGGAGGCAGTCACTGCTGCCTTCCGCTGGCTTGAGAATCAAATGTACACACATGTTGACTGATTGTAACTGACTCACAGCGCATGTTGAAAAAGGTGGAGACAGGCATGATCCCTGCAGAGTGGCAAGCATCACTTCAAAGGTCCCGGGTAGTTAGCATCCTTTGGATATTTTCTCCAGGTCATTGCGGAGTGTTGGGAAATGAGCAGGCAGACAGAATGGTCAGTTCTGCACCACTTGGTGATGAACTGATGTATGACAAGCTGGATGTTTTGAGGGCCCTTTGGGAACGAATGAACAGTGCAGAGACACAGATAGATCATTACGGTCTAAGGAGAATGACTCTGCGAGGAGTTACAAAGGGATCTGGCCAACGCTCGACACTCAGGAAAAAGGCGACACAGATATACAGTTAGACAGTTACTGATAACATCGGAATTTTAACTCTTTGCTCGCTGATAAAAATGAGGACACAGCGCTTATGGGGGTGTCCCCGGTGCTGTGATGTTGATTCTTAATTCAACATTCAACATTTGAAAGAAACTGACTTACGAAGAGAAATGACTGCCCACATCAGAAAGAGACAATCTGCATGCTTTGGTTATATGAGGAGAAGGAGTAAACTGGTGTACATCATGACAGTAGGAAAGCTGAAGGGGAGGAGAGGCAGAGGGAGACTGAGAGAGAAGATGTGGACAGTTTGACATCATGGCATGGAGAATCATCTGTGTCAGAGCTGACTGATAAGTACACAAGACAGAAGGTTGTGGAAAGACATGACTACCAACCGCACATGGCATGGACATTAAGAAGAAGAATACTCACATACAAGCAGGGAGAGAGAGAGGGAACAAACAGCCCACCAGCTGTAGGCAACAGTAGATAAAGTGATGGACTGGTCTATGAAATGAGTACTGTTGTTCATCCAGAAAAGGCATCTGTTTTGTGGAGTTCTCTAGACAACAATATTGTTAGAGCTGATGTCCCAGGTCTCACGATAGATAATAGAAACGTCAGTAGAGAGGGAGCAAACTAAAATATTTGGGAATCCTGTTTGACAGGTGCCTGTCCTTCAAGGACCATGTGGAGATGGTTGTGACAAGATGCCAAAAAAGGACTCAATGCACTTAAGACTATGGCTGCAATGGATATAGAGCAGAGAATGCTTTTCACACTCTATTCCTCACCTGATCCTTTCTGTGATTGATTGTAGACTAGGACTGCTTACTGTCTCAAAGAGTCAGCTGGTTAAACTTGAGCACATACAGAACACAGCTATGTGGGTCATTATGGGTTGTACCAGAGACACCCCAGTGGTTGTTTGTGATGCATCCTTGGTTTGCTGACTGTTGCAAGTGGTCTCAAGGTGCTGCAGGTGAAGTCATATCTTAGAGTAGCTGCAGACATAGACCACCCTTTGCATGAAGGTTTGCATCCTGGAGAGCAATAGATGAGGAGAGGAGTGGGTCAGAGTGCCAGCAGAACAGTCAGATTTGTGTAGAGTCATATTCAGATTGAGCCTGGAGTGCAGAAAGTGACCAGCTGGTGCCATGGAGCAATAAATTCAAAATAATGCTCGCTCAGAGGATGTGATTATTTATGCTGATTTTCCAATACTGGAAACATAATAGGTGTTATTGTTACCCCTTTATGATTCTTCTTCTCATCTTCTTTGAGTTCACTGGCTGTAAACCAAGTGGGAAGTTCTGGTTCTTCATCTATCTCTGGACTTTAGACTTGCTCCAGAACCTGAGTGTTATGTGCACATCTGTTTTACAGATCTGACATTTTTTATGCAGACTCTTGGTTCCTTGTCTCTCAGGCAGATGCACTCCGAATTCAAAAGACACCCCCAAATAGTCTACTCTTGCAAGGAGGCAGTGGGTCTATTTTTGTTTTCTCCACAATAGGTCACGGGACCCACACGGGTTATTATTATGTGAGGATTATATCAATCCTAAATAATGAATAAATCTTGCACATATTACTGCAGAGAATGTTGTAAATAAAATAGTCTGTTTCTTTCATTTGAGTAGGTTGACTGGATATTACAAATTGTGATAACATTTTATTTCTCAGCTCCCAACACACCACATGTCCAAGTGTCAGAGCTAAGAAACTCAAGTGTGAATGTTACCTGGGTGTCAGACCAGACTGCTCCAGACATCAAATATGCTGTTGAGTACAGGCAGTCAGGTAATGAGTGTGCTTGTT